ACACTGTATATATATATATATATGCTTTGTGTATTCAAAAGAACAGTTAGGTGTATATTTTTCATTTATGTTCTAGTCACAGACAACATAAATCAACATGGTTTATTATGATTTATTTCTGATTAAAACAAAATATATATCTATATAATACTGATACATGTACAAGTATGTTTGAAAATAAAAAATAAAAACATGAATCAACACTCCAGTTGAGCATATTAAATTCTCTTCAATCATCACAGATTATTGAGAGGCAACATAAATGGGCCCAAAATTGATCTCATCTCAAGACATTTCATTTATTTGTCGAGTAGAGTTGGCCAGTTTGAGGATTTGTCACAGCGTTGGGAATCTTGATAAGGTGCTGTCAGTGTTTGGGAGAAAATAACAATCATACGCATGATGCTTTTTCTCTACAGCTGCATGCACTTTCCAGGTTTGGTCGTTTCTCAACAGTCAATCTGCATAAAGAGACAGAAAGTCATTAATAAAGAAAATATGATCATTTTAAATGTTTGGTACAGTGCAAAACTACAGTTTAAAGGTACAGGTTATCAGGTAAACTTTAATCTTCATGTCAATATTTTAACAGTTTTATTGCTATATCAAAATATTGATATAAGACATAACATGACCCTTAAACACGTAATAAGTTACAAATTACACAGATAGTGTACTCTTCATTTATATAAGACCATAAGGGTTGGGTTTTCCTAAAGGTGAAGGCTAAAGACAGTTTATTTTACCTTTTTATCAGCACATGTGGACACTTTAACCGATTAAATTAATAACAACCAAATGAAGCACAGTGTGAGCGAACTGGAAGTCAGCAAAGGCTCTTTCAGGAGAGATGGACAAGATCTCGCCTTTATTCTGAGGATTAATCTGGATTCTCAGACACACTGAAGAAGACATGCAATACAAATAAAAGTACTTATTTGTATATGAATATTTCCTAAATAATAATAACAAAAAATAAACAAACTATCCCCTGATGCCTAATAACTATATTTATTGTGTACTTCAACAAATGGCGCACAAGAATGAATCAATCACCTAAAGTGGAGATGGAGTCATGTCATTGACAATCAATAAAATGCAATAAAATAGAGGGATAAATAAGTAAAATGAATGTTTATGAATGAATAATTTCTAAATAATACCAACAACACAAAAATAAACAAACCATCCCTTTATACCAACACTGGATAGTATATTTATTGTGCACATAAACAAAAAACGAGAAGAAGAAGAAGAAAATAATTAATCAATTACCTGCAAGAATAAACGATCCAACTCACGATATGAAACCAGACAGAAAGCTGTTGAACGGAAACGTGCCGACTAATAAACAATAGAGAAACTGCAGCGCTCCAGTCATCATTATATACAGGCGATACGCGTCTATCACTTTCAGTTTGTTCGGCTTGCTGGACGCGTATTCCTCCAAAAACCTGGAAATTACAGAAATCACTGAATTAGACATTTTCTATATCGATTTAAAATCCAAACAACACCGAAAGCTGACGCGTGTGTAAATAACGTTTACGTAAATAACGGTTTCCAGTGAGGCACAGAGAGGTTCTTCCTCCAGGGGGCGCTCGATGGCATTCGAACTCTCCTTCAAAACGTAAAGTCATTTAGATAAAAGTTTTTTGTTTTTTTTTAAGGGGTCATATGATGCGATTTCAACTTTTCCTTTCTCTTTGGAGTGTTACAAGCTCTTGTTGCATAAAGAAGATCTGTAAAGTTGCAAAGACTAAAGTCTCAAATCCAAAGAGATATTCTTTATAAAAGTTAAGAGTCAACCACACCTACTGGATCGCCGGATCGGCTTTCACCGTGGACAAAGCGGAGTCCAGCCCGGGGTCGTCACATGTGGTTGCCGCAAGCCCGCCGGACGCTCCTTCGTCGAATCCGCCGGCCGCGCCGTTCTCAAGCCCTCCGACCGTTCCTCACTCTATGGCCTTCCAAAAGAGGACACGACTAGAAATCAGTTCAACCCAAATATTCAGATGTGTGCAGCACATTTTATGGAGGACTGTTTACTGATCCTGGTAGAGTAGACTACAATGCCGGCTGTTCTGACTCACAGACTGTAAGTACGTTTTTTATATTTAGTAAGGGGTGTAACATTTCCATCACACGCTAGCGGTATTCAGCCAATCACAACACACTGTATGGCTGGCCAATCAGAGCACACCTCGCTTTTCAGACCTATGAGCTTTGTAAAAATCGACGCGTTTCAGAAAGGCAGGGCGTAGAGGAGAAACAATAATGTACAGGATGTGGAAAATAGTTTTTTGAACCTTAAAACGCATAAACACATTGCATTACACCAAATACACAAAATAATGTTCTTTTTAGCAACATCATATGACCCTTAGCCATCTGGTGTTGTTCAGTCATTTTAGGCCGAAATTTTTTTTTTTTTTCGAAATTATAAAAATCACTACTTCATCGGAATGGTACTTGATTACTTTTATGGCAGTCACTATGTGACCAAAAAACAAAAAAAAAATTCCTGGACTTGATTAGAAAAAGCTAAATGATTGTAAAAAATAGTCACACATGTGTTGTTCGCGGTCAAAAATGACCGCCATTGGAAATGAATGGGAAATACACAAAAATACAGAGATTTTTTTTGTGTGTAGCTACAATCTACTACAAATCATTCACGATGCAGAAAAAAAGTGCACAGCAATGAAGGGGTCACTCTCTAAAATATCAAGAGTGCAAAACAGACACAACAAGTTTTACGTCGATAATATTACTAAGCAGTGCAGTGAAAAACAGTTCCGGTTTGTTTACATAATGTTTTTCATATTCTTAGGGCGTAGAATTAGTAGGGACGCTAGGTATGTCCCTACCAATATCCAGCGACTACTAAATTGTCCCTAGCAATAATTTTGATCAAACAATTAAATATATGTATAGGCTATGTTACCACTATACATACATGTATATTTAATACATCATACTAATTTCAGTGGTCAAACTATTAAAAATATGTTGAATTAAAATCGATCACAAATAAAAAATTACAATAAATAATACATTTTCACCTTAAGAGGACACGTAGGATGAATATAGAGATACAGTTTTAACTGCTTAAGGATGAACAGATCTTTGGATAGTTTCCATAGGCTACGCTTAGATCAACTTTGAATAAAGAAAAGAGGTTTAGAGGCATAGCCTATATTTGGCTATATTCTCTTTTGAGTAGTTAAATAATCCAGTTACATAATCAAAATTGTGTAATTATTGTCTGATGGATGTATATGCTAGCTAAAAAAAGCTCTCTTTATGAATTATGAGTATGTTAGTTACCATAGCTATAAATGAAGACATTAGATGACATGAAACTGTGGTCAAAAGTTTATCATAAATGTGAAAATGTTGGGGTAGTTGGATGGCTGTTGTCTGCTGTTATGTCCCCACCAATGTCAAAATCAAACCTACACCCAAGATTCACGAAATTGTAGCACAGACGTGAATGGATCAGGTGTAAAATAACAATCGTTTGAAAGTGAGAAGCCTTGGTTTAAGCAGTGTTGCCAACTAATTTTCAGGGGAAGTTGCTAAAGGAAGGTCGATTTGTTGCTATAAGTTGCCAAATGACGTTGTGATGTCATTGCGTGATGACGTCATTACGTAATCACGACGCAAAATTGTCACTACATTAAAAAAAATTTGGATTTGTTCGTAAAATAATATAAATGCATAATATAATGTTAAAATATAAATAACCATTTTTATATACAACTAAGTAGTAACTAGCTAGCAATCAAACCGGCAGATGGCAGCATAGGATATTCTGTTTTCGCGAGGACCATAATGTGAAGGAATAACGTCTATAATCCAGAATAGACATTATACAATCTCTTTATCAGTGTCCTTTTATAAATTCTGAGTAAATGTATTATAAATTATTTTGTATAAATTGGTGTTAAAACATTAGCAATTGTATTTCTATTTACGTTTCAGGCTAATCATGCAGTTGAACGTGTCCTTAATTTCTTTGTTTTGCACTGTAAACTGTTATTTCATAGGAACAAATGTCGTAATAGCCTACTTTGCTCAGATTTAAGTCTTACTGACAGAAATTCCATAACAAGAATAACACGTTTCTATTTTCTAAAGTTTTACGATCTTGATTTTCTCTCTGCTTGAGGTGTTGTTTTTATTTATTTATTTATTTATTTTCTTTCTTGCTTTTTTATATTTCTCAAATGCGGTGCTAATTGTTCTCTTTTTGTGAACAGTGCCAAAAAGAAAAAAAAATAATAATAGTGTATTATAGCTAATATAATATAATACAATAATTATATACTAATTTTATAATTATATAAATAGTATTAATAATGTAAATAAAAAACAACAACTTAGCAATATTCCATAAAGAATTCTCTGTACGGCTGAATATTGCATAAATATTAGGAGAGTAGTATGCTAATATAGACTTTCTGTCTTCTCTGAAGGATCTGTGAGGATCCTCAGGTCTACTCAGTAGGCAGGAGTCAGGGTTAAAAGAGTTGACACTCTGTCCATTCGTCTTATTATTGTTCTGGGAGTGCCACATCTAGAGAGTTTTCAGTACTGTGGTAAAAGTGTGGTAATTTGGATGAAACAGAATGAACCTCACCTCACACTGATTCAGCTTCTCGGTCAGTGTTTGATTATTCAGGTCTGCCTCATGGCCTCAGAACCCGGAAGTAGCGTTCAGATATAGATGCACTGTATCAGAGTTGTCCGAGTGCCAGCGGCCTTCTGATCACCTGTGTCTCTGCAGCTCATCTTCAGCAACAATGCGAGTCCCACAGGTGTCGAGGTGAGGATGATGAGGATGATGATGATGATCAGACCTGAGTTTACAGCCATTATGTGCTTATAATCACAAAGTGTGTGTTTAATGGATCTGTAGAGTTGAGAGTATGACAGCAGGTCGTGTTTGAATGCCATTTATTACAGGATTTCTGCTTTTGATTCGCTAATATGAAATATTCAGAGTGTTTTGATTGATGACAGTGGATTGAACTAATTGCTGACGGGCGTTTCTGGCTTACTGAAGCATCCCACAGGTGTCGAGGTGAGGATGATGATGATGATCAGACCTGAGTTTACAGCCATTATGTGCTTATAATCACAAAGTGTGTGTTTAATGGATCTGTAGAGTTGAGAGTATGACAGCAGGTCGTGTTTGAATGCCATTTATTACAGGATTTCTGCTTTTGATTCGCTAATATGAAATATTCAGAGTGTTTTGATTGATGACAGTGGATTGAACTAATTGCTGACGGGCGTTTCTGGCTTACTGAAGCTGAGTTCTCAGGAATAAAACAAATTCAGCATCCAAAATACACTGTAATTGTGCAAATTATATTCGAGTTTTTTTTAAATATATAAAATATATACTATGGTATTACCATACGGTAACACTAATATCTATCTATCTATCTATCATAGATAGATAGGTAGATAAAATAAAAATAAATATTATGTAAAAATATATAGCATAAATATATCTGTAAAATATTATTATTATTATTATTATTATTAGTAGTAGTAGTAGTAGTATTTATTTTTTCAGCTAAGCAAGTGTTATTTTAATATTATAAATGTATTTCTTTTACCCATGAGAAAATATCCAAGGTCATGCAATTGTTCTCGATATCCTAAAAAAAATAAAAATAAAAACCTTTGTGTAGCTTGTTGAAGAGCAAACTGTTTTCATCTAGCTGTCTCTCCAGCATGTTTATGGGAGTGTTGAGGAAAGTCTCTGAGTAACTCCACATGTGTTGTGTGATCAGTTGTCCAGAGATCTTTGTGTCTGGATGTCTTCCTGCACTTAAATATTTGTGCTGAACTTAAAACAGCCCCATTGTTCTTTTTAGATCGGGTATATCTGGGTTTGAATGCGTTTATGACAGGATGTGTGGAGAGAGATAGGAAAGTATTCGGGAGAGATCAACATATAATGCTGACTGGATTCAAAACTGTGTGCTTGTAAGCCACATTACTTCTTTAATAGGGCCCTATAAAGTCTATACATTTTCTGTGCTCTGCTTTAGTGGTTAAATTACATTTTAGTAATCAAAGCATATCTAATGAATTGAAATCATGAAACTTTATTTTAAAAAAGGAAACATTTGGGGGGGAAAATTGAGTGAAAAAAATACATATATAAAATATATACTTTAAGTAATATTTTAAAAGGTAAACAAAGTCCTGCACTGCAGAGGTTTACAGTTAAAAGTTAAACAAGGCGGAACATTTGTGTAATTATTCCTTAAAGGGGTCATATGATGCGATTTCAATTTTTCCTTTCTCTTTGGAGTGTTACAAGCTCTTGGTGCATAAAGAAGATCTGTAAAGTTGCAAAGACTAAAGTCTCAAATCCAAAGAGATATTCTTTATAAAAGTTAAGAGTCAACCACGCCTACCTAAAACGGCTCGTTCTAACACGCCCCAACATACCTACGTCGCTCTGTGGGAAGATTTGCGTCCTTTGTCGAATCCGCCGGCCGCGCCGTTCTCAAGCCCTCCGGGCTCCGCTCACTCTAGGCCGCCGTGTGTGACGCTGTGTTTCGTTGTGAAAGCGAAACTACTTTGTTTGGCCTTCCAAAAGAGGACACGACTAGAAATCAGTGGTTAAGTTGTATCCGTAATTATGTCCCCACTGGCTTCAACCCAAATATTCAAATGTATATAAACACATTTCATTACACCAAATACACCAAATACTGTTCTTTTTAGCAGCATCATATGACCCCTTTAAAAATGATGTTTTAATAATTAATAATAATAATTGAATTATTATTGTTATTGTTGTTGTTATAAGAAGAACATTCTACTCTACAATAGGAATGTATTTCTGTCACAATTTCTTCAAGTTAAACCGAACGTTTATTTTGAAGGGTTGCCGCAAGGTTTCTGTGTGTTTATATGACAATAGTTTTTCTCAAATGTAATGGTAAAATGCTCATGAAGTGACTCTCAGAGCAGCTCTTGAGATGAAGTTCATGTGTTCATGTCCTCGTTTCATGATTTAATTAATTGTACAGCACTTCTTTTGAGTTATTCATCCAAAAACGTACACGGTAAGTTCCATTTATATGACTGGATTCCGCAATATTTTCAGTGTTTTCAGCATTGTGCAAATCTACTTAAAGGGAGAGTTCACCCAAAAATTATTAACTCACACTGTTGGTGTCAAACCTGCACTTACTTTCTTCCATGGAACACACAGAATAACTATTAGGTGAAGTATTCCTTAAACCATATTTTCTCTGTATGTCTTTCTTGTATATATCTTTCATTCCCAGCGCTCCACGGATCCAGACGGTGTTGACCAGCTCATCCTTGGGTCTAGAGGGCTTCAAAGCTCACGCCGTCTTCCAGGAGATCAGTAAAAAGCTGCATGAGGTATGAGAAGCCCTATTCAGTTCAGTTCATTCATCTGAGTTCATGGGCTGCAGTGTTAAAGCCTCTTAACACCTCAACATCCCTGCTCAAGGCTATAGCAAGATCAATGTGAATCTGTGTTATTACCCAGCTTTAATCATGTCAGCAATGATCCTCTGTCAGGTTTCAGGCCTGCTTTTCCCTGCTGGCTGGTGTGAAAGGGTTTTATTCAGACTATAAAAGTTACTGGGTGCTGAAAGGATCGTCTTTTCATTAAACACAATCCCTCTGTCTTATCCAGATGATCCTTTTCATGCCATTTCACGTGCATCACTTACTCTTCTAAAGTGTGTGGTGACATGTGTGTCCATCCCCTTCCCCAAACTGCTCTTTCATAACCTGGGTAATATTATAAATCAAGCCATGACAGAGTCTTTACCCGCTTAGCCTCGTCATCCGGGTTTACAGAATAGTTATTCACCTTGTACCAAACTCATATGGTTTAATTTCTTCCTTGCAACATAAAAGGGAAAACTTCTTTTGAATGCAAAAAATATGAAGCAGCATAACTGTTTTCAACATTGATAATAATCAGAAATGTTTCTTGAGCAGCAAATCGGCATATTAGAATGATTTCTGAAG